CTAACTTTATCATATAGGGATATAGTCTTTTGTTTTCAGCTGTTAAATGGGTAAATAATTCCATTTAGTTATATGTAGCGTGGCAGGAATGCTCAAATATAGCTCTGTAGACTAGACAAAAGTGTTTTTAAATGGGATCTGGGTATGCAAATATTTTATTGACACTTTTTGTCATTTTATAAATGTCCGCCTCCTCAATTGTTCTTAATGAGATGATAAGTAAATGTCATATAACAGCAACAAGCAAAATATTTGGCAAATTTGTAACAATTATTGCCACATTAAAAGCAGATATTAAAGTTTTTGTTTAAGAAAATATCTAGCAGCATTTTTCAGTTTCTCTAATGCCATCCTGAACATAACATGATTGTCACACCAGTGTCATCAGCGATCATTCATTAGAGGTCATAATATCCCATGGCTTTGTTACAATGACAATATTATTAATATTTTATAGAGAGAAATATATACACAGCTAACATATTTACTATCACACATATGAAAATAAGAAGGGTTAGGTGGCCAAGCTAAACTAGATATGTCAAAGAATCCAAGTGTTCTATTTTTTGGTATTTAAATTTATATGCTGAGAGCTAACTTTTGGGGAAAATAATTGTGCTGGCCATAGGATTCCCTGTCATGTATTGTCCACAAAAATTAACTTCATCTGCGATGTGGACAACTTCATTATTTTTGCCTCAGATAACAATGTTTGGGACAGTTTCTGAACATATTTGATACGCCCAAAGAGAAGTTTTCTTAATCTGTCATCACATTTACAATAGGCCTCTCTTCATGAAGGAAAAAGAAAATGTAATAACTTAGTAGTTCGGTTGATAACAAATTTTTTAAATTTTATTTTTTGGTGACTCATGGTGTTTAAAATTATTCAATTTAGATTTCATAAAAAGGTTTTCGATCTATAGTGCAGATGATGTTAAGGTCATCTGTTTCTTTGGCCAATGGTTAACATGCAGGGTGTCATGTGGCCAGCACCACTACCAACCGCCTTTACTTTCCTCAACTTAAGTCAGGTACCCATTAGAGGTGGGTGGACTCAGGGGCCCCCTAAAAATCAAGAAAATTAAAAATCCCAGTTTTCAGTTAGATTTGAACCCATAACCCCCCAGGTTCGGGAGCCAGGTGCTTAACCACTTAGCCATCACGCCCTATAACAAGGTTGAGTTCTGATAAATAATTAAGGGGTCCATTAAATCTTTCCAACATGTAAGGGTATTAATTAATGTGTGCTTTTAAAGTATGTCTAAATCTTGTTGTAGAATAGTTAATGACAAATATATTATAAAAATTAGGTTTTAATTAATTGACTTATTATGTATCTTTCTAATCCTAAGATATTTTTTCTTTGCAAAATAATGAACAAAAACTAAGAAGCTATTTCAATGATAACTTCATGAACTTAGTTTTAAAACTACACCAATAGTGACCTATGACATGAGTTCTGTTACTCATCTGTCGCTCAGGGCCTACACTTCTGTACTGATGAATTGTTTGTCGTAGTTTTGAAACTTTTTTTTATTGTCATTGCCATTGATTTTTATTTAACTATTAAGAGTTCTAGCAAAAGTTATCTTAGTTTATTATATAGGCCAGCTGTCAGTTTAATCAATTGCGCAAAAAAAAAATAATCTTAGCTGTTAGCGTTTAACATAAAGATAAAGATAATATATATATATAAATAATTATGTCAATGGCTTGAGATTGTATATTGTCAAGAGCTTCTTCATTGTTGTGCTGCATTGTTATATAGGTAGGTGTGCTTGTTATGAATGACTGTGGTAGCTTCTTGTATGTGTGTTAATACATTAGCTTCTTGTCTGTGTGTTAATGTGTTTGCTTTTGGTGTGTATGTGTGTGTGCTGCCTTTGCTATTCTGTTGTAAAGCTTACAGATTTTGTTTTCCTCTATGTGGCTTATTTTCCCATTCTTTTCAGTTTTGAGTCCTGCTCGGAGCGGATATACTCAGCTGTCACAGAGATGGCCTCTCTTTTTCCTGATGTAAGCATGGTCCTCAGTGAATTTGTAGTCTTTTTTTTTTTCATTTGATCATCGTTGTCGTCGTTATTGTCACGTGTCATCATCATAACTCCTCTAAAATAAAAATAAAGAAATTTTCTTTACCGCCTTTAAATATTCCTCAGTTTTTAACTATTTGAGCAGTTAATGTTGTCTCATTTAGTCCGCTCTTTTGATTTCCTTGGCCCATCGTTTTGAAAAGAACAAGGGCTATATTTTTTTAACAGCCAGGATACCAATAGCAGACGTTAACAGCAATCCATTATTTATTTGTGACAAGCACAACTGCTTGTTTAAACCTTAACCCAAACAAAAATATAGGAAGGTTGAGAAACTCTCAAAAAGAGTAATTCTTGTTGTTCAGAGTTTAAGACCTCTCTCTCTCTCTCTCTCTCTCTCTCTCTCCCCCCTTCCCCCTGTAAAAAACAAAATTGATGGATCTATATCAGAATTAAATAGGGGCCACAATTTGATATATTTAGATATTCATTTTTTTTTTTACTGTAGCAAGTAAATAAAAAAAGAGGTGACTAATTAATTAGACACAGGGGTTTTAATTTAACAGCAGTAAATATTTAGATTTGGCAAGTAAATATGTAGTCTTCAAGTTGTAATTAAAATTACAGTTGCCCAGGTCTGTATCTGTGTGTATCATTGTATGCTTTGCAATATAGTCACTCAAACAACTATTGGCAGTATAGTTATTTGTACAACTATTGGTAACTCATATAGTTATTGGTGGTGTAGTCAATCATATTGGCAGTATAGTTATTTGTACAACTATTGGTAACTCATACAGTAATTGGTGGTGTAGTCAATCATACAGTATTGGTGGTATAGTCAATCATACAGTAATTGGTGGTGTAGTCAATCATACAGTAATTGGTGGTGTAGTCAATCATACAGTAATTGATGGTGTAGCCAATCATACAGTAATCGGTGGTGTAGTCACTTGTATTGTGACTTGTGCTGCTCTACACAATACAGCCATGAACTACTGCATGTAATAGAGTCACTTTGATGTTTTATACACAGTATTGTGACTTGTTCGAACATATTCATTTATTACAGCTATAGCCAGTATAGCCATTTGTACAAACAGCAAACAGTTTATATGCTGTTAAAGTAGGACTGTTTCCAAATGGGATTTGTTCAGAGTATCTCTTCAGTGTTGCATTTACCTACCTCCTCATCAAAAAGTAGCTGTAATGTTGACATGAGATTTATCCAGGCGATATAACTCACATAGACAGTCCTTCAAAAAAAAATTTTTTTTTACATTTTGTTGTCTGTGCTTATTTTAACATTTATCTAGTCGAGTATTTCACTTCATGCTGCCCATTCCAAGTAAGTTTTTTTAGAGGTGTTCTCCTGCCCATGTGGGATCAAAAATATTTGTATTTATTCAGAAGTTAATTTTTGGGTGTTTGAAAGTTCTAGTTAATTGTCTACAAATATGTTGATCCCCAGAATTCCTTTGTGCAGGAAAGGAGAGAAAATTGATTAGCTTTTTACTGCTAGTAAATCTGCTTTGGAGTGTCTTTTGACACCTCTCCTCCCCTCCAAACAAAAAAAAAAATTAATTCACCACCCTTTTAATTAGTAGACAAGGCCTATATACTAAGCCAGTGTTTTCCAAACTGTGTTCTGTGGAACCCTAGTGTTCAGTGAGGCCTGAATAGGTGTTTCACGAACTACTGGAATGGTTAATAAGTAAGCCATGACGTGAATTAACTTCTCTAAAAAAATAAGCAAAGTGTTCCGTTAAATACTCTGAATGTGCAAAGTGTTCAGTTAAGGAAAAAGTTTGAAATCACTGGACTAAGCTAATAAATTGTTTTTATACATGATGTAAAAAAAAACAACCACATTATCTTTGCCACTGGGACTCTATTTCAGGAGATTGGTTCCGAAAGATTACAAGACGCAAGAGTAGTTTTAGTGCTGAGTGCCAGGAGGCTACGGGACGAGTGCAAATCATGGCCCCCTTCACCTGAGCAGGACCCCAACCCAGACTTCCGCCTCAAGACTCAGCAAGTGATACAGTACGCATATGACATCGCCAAGGCAGCCAAGAAACTTGTCACCCTCTTCCAGTAGTAGACTCTTAAACCCTAGTGTTTGATTCAGGTTTCAATATTTTTTTTTCTTACTTAGCTATTGCTCTGGGGGTTCATGTATGGACGGGATAGAAGCTGTAACAAGAAACTACATTTTTGTGTGTTTTACATTCAGTACTAGGGTTTTGTACTGTTTTTATTTTATTTTATTTGGCAATACTTATATATTAGATTTCTTTTTTTTTTCCTGAATAATTTTATGGAAAACAATTTGTGCCTTTAAAAAAAAAAAGATAACCTAATTCCTGGTGTATGTATAACAGGGGGTGAGTTGGTTCCTATATCGATGGCGGAGGTTTTGTTTCATAATGAAAAAATGAATGAATCCCTTGTTTGACTCTACAGCCGCTTGTACTCAATGTAGGAAACATGATATTTTGTTCAGGGCAGGGTTGTATCAGTCTTGCAAACCAAAGCAGTGTACAGTTGGTCATTGGTGGACACTAGTGATAGTAACATAACGTCATGATACTAAGCACCACTAGAGCTTACGTTTACATTGAGAACCTCAGAATGATGTTGAATTAATCGCAGGAAACTTATCAGAATTTTTTTCTTTTTTTTTTCCCCACCTTTGTAGCTAATCAACTTGTTAGAATTTACAAATGTAATTTATTTGGGTGGGGTTTAAGAGACATTGATTTCAACATTTTTTTCTCCTGGTCTTATTTCATCTAAAACAAATCAGTTTTGTGATGCTCTGTCATTAGATGGTGTCAGTCTTGGAGCAGAGCTGTATAGTGAACATATTGACACAGGCGGGGGCCCTCTCCCAGAATAATTTGGCTCCGAACTGCTGGGTACATTTAGGCCTTTTTGCCTTTCCCCCCCCCCCCCCCCCCCCCCCCCCCCCACATGTCAAATACTTATACATATGCAAGTTGCATAAAAAAGGGCCCCCGAACTACTAGTGTCCTATTTGTACACCTTCTCCCCCCCCCCTGGCGGTGAGCCTCACTCAAGATAGTGTTTTCAAAACGCACTCTCATTCAAAGTAGCTCTCTGCAACCATGGCCCTACAGTTCAAACCTTTGGTTGTTATTTTTTTTTTTTTGTTGCTGCTGCAAGCAAACAAGAATTGTGGCTGTTGTAATGTGTCACATTGTCCTTGATCTGAAACCTTTTGAAAGTGCAAGTTGATCCCAAAAATAAACATGTACATCCTCTGCCAATCAATGTTTGACATATGGATTCTATTTTAAGTCTGAATAATTGCATGTTTGTAAATAATCATAGTTGTTGACCTATATAACTTTGTTCAGTTCACTTCTGCAGGTTTCTTTCTTTTATTAAATTACAATGTACACTTTTTTTTTTTGGCTTCTTGACCTTTTATTGAGTAAAAATCTGGCTATGCCTTACAACATCTTCAAAGCACAATGTTAAAAGCCATCTGTACTTGTTCACACACATTCTTGGTCCTCTGCTGTTGTTCTTGAAGCAGTTGCTTGCTGTTCAGTTTTAAATGACAGTTGCCTCTCAACAAGGATCTAGACAAATGGAGAAAATATATCCATGGGTTCTCTGTTTTGTAATATATGTATGACAAATGTAAATTTGTACAAGAATTTGGATATCCATTTTAAAAACATTCTGTTCAACTATATGAAAGCGGAAAAAAAAAAATAGGCCCCTGTTCTAATTATTTATGCTATTTATTTCTTGTAATCTAATGTAATAGTCATTCAGTTACGTGTAGTTTTCATTGTATTCCAATATAACAAGTGTTAAATTTGTGCTAACATTTGTTACTAGGCAGACGTTCATTATATTATTTTTTTATTTTACTTCAATGTTAAAGAAAAGTTTTAAAGAAAATCCTGAAGTGGAAAAAAAAAACAAATTTGTGAAACTCTTTAAAAGTTGATTAAAGAAATTTGAAAATATTTTGCAGATTGGCTGTTCCCTTTTGTATCCTAGCTAGAGTACTTTTACTTATGAATAGCCAATATTTTTGTTTTACAGTCGTCTCTTGTTTACATGATAAAATCTAATCTAAATTGTTATCTCGAGTCACATACCGGTACTTGGATAGTGATTTAACAAATCTGTAACCAAAAATTAAGAGAGTCATTTTTGTAATCATTATTAGAGCCCTTATACTTCCTGAGTATCAGAACACTTCTATGGCACAGTAGATTTTGTTTCAAAAAAATTAGACTATAGATGTTATTAACATCATTTTTTTGTTGTTTAAAGGTCAGATGTCAACGGACGACTGTCTTTATACTTGTTGATATGTTTGAATGACTGCATGCACCCTCATTAATGTGTCATCTATATATGTATCTATATCATCTTTATTGTTATTTTTATGATAATGGAAATGTCATATGCTAATACCTATCGTTTACAAATGATGTTGGACCTAATTAAGGGGAGGCTATCATTTCATTGTTTTGTAATATATTCCGTAACCTTACTGGATAAAACTTGAGAAACCCTTTTTATCTTGGTTTGATGTAATGTTAGGTTTGATTTAATGGCTAGACTTCTACATTCAGGTCTGGATAATGCTTCTTATTAGTTGTGGAAGTAAAACTAAAGCAAGATCAAATATAGTTTGTATTTTATTTCATTAAATGAACTATGGCCTAGCATGGTTCTAAATGTATTAATGATGTCAGAGCTACTATTTTGATTCTAGATACAATTGGTCTTATGTAAGGATTCTATCTTGTCTAGGATCTCCACCTCAGAGTTGTGAAGTCTTGTCTATGATCTTCACCTCAGAGCTGTGATGCATCAAGATCTCTACCTCTGGCTGTTAAATCTAGGATATCTGTCACAGGGCTGTGGGGTCAGAACCAAGGTTATATAAATAAAAAAAAGTGTATCCCCAATAGCATCAATGAGAGCCCAAATAAAAGCTAAGTTTATATCTTAGTTGAGAGACTTTTTGTTTGCTCCCTTTGTAGAGTAAATACCATCAACTCTTTGAACTCATCTAACTCTACTCCATTGTTCCTCTCCAATGCCTTCTCTTGACCAAGACTGCTCTAGTGTAAGATAGCCCCCCCCCCCCCCCCCACTTCTTTTTATTGATTCAGATTCTGATGAGCATCTATTGTATTGTATAGATTTGTTTTTATTTTGATGTTATCTCTCTGTGTTTCTATTGCATGCTTGTTTTGCATGGATGTTTTTTGAGTTGACTCAGTGTTAGTTCATATTATATGATCTTTTTAAAACACTTTTGCATACACCCCCCACTCTGACACATGCAAAATGAACTGTCTAGTCTCAATAAATGAAGTAAATAAATAACAAAACGTGTGAATCTCTTTTTTATTCATATTATCATAGATATTTCTCTAAAAACATGCTGCTTAATTTGATTTCAGTCTTGATATGTATTAAAAATATGCTGCTAAATTGATTTCAGGATCAAGTGTTTGATAATCATTAGGAACAATAAATTTGTTTTCAAATTGTTTTTAAATGACTGCAAACAATATTTTTGTACCAATCGTTTGTGGACTTGCACGTAATGGATTCAACATAGTTTAGCAAATAGACATTCCAAATTAAATGGTCTTTAAATGTTTTTGTCTAAATAAACCATAAAATTGGTCACCATGCCTTTTATTTCATCATAGCATCTTAACAATCTTTAAGTATGACATAGATCAAACACTGCCCTGTTCATCCAAATTAAGAATTTTTTAAAAAGTTCAAGTTAAATTACATAAATTTTGACAGATGGAAAATATACACAATATATATTATCACAGAAGTATATAGTTACAATTATTTTGGCAAGCCATTAACAAAAAAATGTTTTAATTTTATACTTAAATCCTTAGAATGTATTTACACAAATCATTTTTCTAAAATAAAGTGAAGCATGGAAGTCTGTGTGACTGGTAGAGAAAAATGTCTCTTGGTTCATCCATTAATAATAATCTTCAAAAGGCATAAACCCATGTCTGTTTCTCTGTCTAGTTAAACCAAATACTGGATCTTTCTGCATAGGGCCAGCAACTGAATACACTGGTCTGCGGTAGGTTGATGTCATAAAGTTTGAAAACGGATACAGTTTATCGTCCCTAAAGCTCAGCTCACGAATAGCTCTTGCTCTGTGGTTCTCTGTATTGGGCACACCGTTCCTGTGGAAACAAAAGGGACACAAATTTTATCTGAATGTAATATTATATTACTATTAGTCATTGGAGGCGCTGAAAGGATTTACGACAGCGCGTAAACTCCAAAGATATAATTTTTTTTACACCAAATTATGCGTATTAAATAATTCATTAAATAGTTGACATACTTTACTTAATATTTTGGGGCGAGTTTTTTTTTTTGCATGTTTGTTCTGGAAACTTAATGAGTAAAAAAAAAATTTGGATAAGAAGAAATACAATCACTTGATTAAGTGATGAAAAAAAGTTTTTACACATAAACTCTGGAATCAGTTGAATGGCAAAGTAGACCATATTGTGTTTATACTCAGCAACTACAACTCTAGTTAATCAAAATACTAATATATCAGATCTAAGCCAAATCTTCTGAGTGCTTTGAAGATCTGAAATATCTTTTCCCTTTGAACACTGTGATTGTATAGTGAAACGATAACCAATGACACAACTGTGAGAGGTAGGGGATAGAAATGTAAGGTTAGCAGACGCCAATTCTTTTGACATCCACATAGAACCCTTTCCCCTCCCATGCAAGCATGTCTTCCCAAAGAATAGTCACAATATACCCATATTTTGTTCCTTTACCCCAATTCATCGTTTGATTAGTCATTGGGCATTGTTCCAAATGCCTCTTTGGTCATTGATACTCAAGTTGTCCTGTTATATCTTATCTTATATAATACAGACGTTACTTCAAAAAAGAAGATGATTACGTCCTTCGCGTCATGCATATTAACCAATGACCTAAATTCTGCCAAGTCACTGGTTTTCCTGGCTGGCGCAGGCAACCCATTCCATGCTCTAATGGCACTAGGGAAGAAGGAGCATCATGGATGAAGGAATCAAAGAATGAGGAGAGTGTCCTACACCAAAAATTTCAATAGACAAGAGATAGTGCTGGCTGAATAGGAAGACAACAGAGAAGCAGTGAAGACAACTTTATTTGTTGACCAGTAACAGGTAGGCAGGTGTGTTTTAATGAAAATAGATTCAGTGGAAGTAGGAAGCAAAGTAAAAATTCAACAAGATTTTTACTGAAGTCTAAGTCATTTTCAAAGTGAGACACAGACACTGTGTCGTGTGAAAAAATACATTACATTAAGTTGGCAGATGCTAAGTGTCAATCAATTTATGAATATTTGGTTTTAGGTAATAAATGTAAGCTATGGCCCAAATCTATGTGGCATCAGAACTTTGTACCCTTTTATAACATAAAAAGGATACTGCTTACATAATGATGATAATTTAATTTACACAGCACTTTATCAAACAAAATGTAGGCTGAAGACAGTATGAGAACAGAACAGACATAAAGAACTAAAAAAAAAAGGGAAACCAATCTAGATTAAAGTTAAGTTCTAAACAGTAAGTTTATGTTAATTTAAAAATTACTTGAGATATTTTTTGTTATCTACAGGCCAGTCCTTGCCCTCCCTTGTCCACTTTGGCACTCCTTCGACTCCCATATGAACGCCATATTGCCAAGGACGAGACAGTGGCTCCTGTCTGTCAACTACTTGTGGTAGTTCCTCTTGCCGCCTAACTGGGTAACCCCAGTCATACCACTTGTCTGTCCAATTCTATGCAGAAATTGAAAACTTAGTACAATGAAGTAAATGAAGGCACAACATATTTTAGACATAAAATATTGACTAAGCCATACAAACCAAGCACTATCTTATAAAACAGATCTTCCTTCAGAGAAAATGTGTTAAGTCCTACAAGTATCCACTGCTAGTGCTTAGTTGACAAAGATATAATTAAGGAATTTTAAATGTGTACGATTCTTCTGACAAAATAAGTGAGGAAATGAAGAAAAAGTCCATTGTTAGTGGATTGCATTAAACAAAAGGAAGCTCACTTATAAATTTTCAGTCAATGAATCTAAAAGCCACCACTGACACTTTCATTTTTACTCTAATGTTCTTAAATCTAGTGAATATTTTGTATATGTTTATAATGAACCAAAGTGTATAGATTACCTGGTATCCATCTCGTCCTTTACGTTGAGTGTATTTATCTGGTTCTTCACGTCTGAAATAAAATGAAAATTTTTAGGATAAATAGATCAACATAAAAAATTAAACATAAATAGTAAGTGTAAGGTAATTATGATGATGAAAATATTGCTTTAAATTTTTCTGAAATAAAGAAAGAAGCAGTCACATGACCTAATGAAATGAGGCCTGCTTGCTGTGTGACTGAGAATTGGGTTAAGAAAGAAACAAGCTGCCTGGTTGTTTTAATATCAATTTAAAGACCAGAAGTTTCAATCCTGCCAGGAAAGTCTAGGTGTTAAGGATACTATCTAAATTCAGTTGAAGTAAATTTATATTGCGTTTTAATAACTTAATGTGCTAATGCTAATTGATATGAATTAAAAATGTTAACAGTCAAAATAAAAATTATTATCTTTATTAGTCTGGCATGAATCTGGTATCATAACTCAATATGAACTGGTATTTTAAAAATGTACCTAGGCAAAAAATGAGTTATTATACTAGATATCAATAGTAGTGATATCATATTATTATGCTTTTTACCTATCAGATGCACTACTTTCAAATGGAACTTAATTATTACATAAATGTTCTCTTGTTTGATCAAATTATGACTGAGGAAAAATCAAAAAAATCTTTTTTCAAACTTATACATTAAAGATGTTCTTTCAAAAGAGAAGAGAATTATGTCCTTAATGTGTTAATTTGTTTGTGCAGGTTAATTAGAGACTTAAGCTCTGCTAAGTCATTGGTTTTCCTGGCTGAATCAGACACTTACTAAATTCATAGAATATTTCAATGTTTTTCATTGAAAAATAAATAAATAGAAACATATTCCTAAGAAAGTTAAAAAGATAAAAAAAAAAAAATACCCTCTGGGTCAGGCTTTTGTGATTTCAACATTACAGGGGAAATACAAGACACTGATTACAAAGACACACACAAAAAAAAGCTCCTATGTTATGTAATCAAATCATTAAACATAATCAACTATCTGATATAATCTTCTTATCTTATGAAATACATATGCTGCTCAAAAAAGATGATTATGTCCTACGAACACATCACATGTAACTTTTGAGTGAGTCTGGTGTGAATGTATATTTTGTTTTCTATAGTTATGTTTTTTTTAGTGTAAAACACAAATTGTAAGACAAATTGCCTAATGGATATTACAAACAATTATTATTATTAATACATAGCTGTTACATTAGGCTTATACCATTACTACAATGAGTCTCACTATTGGCTATAGAATTACCTGAACATATCTTGTGAAGCTGGGTAACGAGGGACTGTTGGTGGCATATTGACCCAATATGGGTACATTGTTTGGGATCTTTTACAAAATAGCGTATCTGTCATTTCTTACTTTAACTTTAAAAATACACAATTGTTTACTTTAGCAGCTAATGATTTTAACAGTCAATAACTACGGTTTCAGCGTTTTGAAAAATCTGCTACGATAAAATAACTCAATGACTCCTAGCGCATAGATTATAAATCTTAGGACTTGCTTAGAAATTATGTAATCTTCTACTCGACATTGATCTAGATCTATGATATAATTTACTGCCTCCACGTAATAGGGAGTCATTAACCACGAATAACTTTTTTAGTCCACTAAACTATGATCTTCATTTAGTTTTAGATCTAGATCTAGACCTATGCCTATACGACTAGTCTACACATATTACAAAATAAATCAAAAGATAAGATACACTATTTTCACTATTAGAACTGTCTTTTACACTTACGTTGCTCGCTCTGCGTTAGATCTACATTATTATAAATTTTCTTAAGTTTAATATTTTGAAGTTATAGTAATAGATTGTTTATTGTTATTATTAAATCATTAATTAGTGGGTTTTTTTCCTATTTATCTGCTCTGGCAAAAGATGTTGACAATATTTAGGCACCTATTTTTAAACTGTTAAGCATTGTTACCATAGACGCGCTGCTATGGTAACACCTTTTAGAATATATTTATTATTTTATACTACCTAACTGCAACTGATAGTCTCTGATCAATATTAAAATATTTTTTAATTTTATTTTTCTTGTTTTGATGACTAAGTGATAGATCTAGATTCTATTTTAATAGCTGCATTTAATTTTTATTTACTTTCTTTGATTCAATAAGACACCGGAAGTTCACATTGTTGTCACTACAGATTTGTACAGTCATAAATTTAAACTAAAGTCTACTAAAGACATTAGTTTTAGAATTTGATGTAGATCTATATCTAACTTAAGTAACGTAGAAAGGGTAGATAGGAGAGAAGACTAAACTAGTGAGGGCATTGAATATTTTGTTCATCAAAACGTCTTCTACGCCTAATTGCCCTAATAATAAACTAGATCTATGTCTTCAACAAATGCAGCTGCCATAGGATTTCTTTCTACGCCAGCCAAGCTTCCGAAAGAATGGTAAGACCCACACACACGGTGACTCACCTACCTACTGTAATGTATTACTATTATATAAATGGCCTTAAACTTAAATTCGCGACTCTCTGGATATATTAACTAATAATAATAATATAAATAAATGAAATGGGACCTTTAAAATAAAAATTATATTCAATACTAAAATAGAACTACACAAATTAGTTCGTCATTAACTGTCATAAGGCCCTAACTACCAAACTAATAATATGACGACTAAGATCAATTAATTTTTAAAAAAGTGTTTTTCGTTAATCCCTTCAAAAGTTGGCCTTTGGATTGGTTAGTTGATTACCTCCTTTTGCCTACATCTGACAGCTCTGTTATATCAGCTTCTAGACCTGTTTTGCTTTGGCTAAGTGTCTTAATCAACTTCTTTGCATTGGGGAAGCTTTCATATTTATGTAGACCTTTTTCAAATTAAATTTTCAATATGAAAAATATATATGATACTAAAACCAGTGTTTCATCTGGGCACTTCCAGTGTCTTTCGAGATATGCATGTATATATAAATCTCTTTATATGATATGCAATTCACATAAAACAATGTAAATTGTTATAATTATAGCCTTATATCAGCTTAAGCATCATAAGTAACCCATTTCCCACAACCAAATTAAAAGAAATAAAAATATTACTATTTGTATTAAATTTGTAATATTAATCTTTTAGGCAACCTAAACTACATGAATGGAATCCATACCATTGCAGTCACCCTGACGTTGCTAACGTAAGTTGAACTAACAAATAAGGAACATGACCTAAAATACATAGTTTGTCTTCTTTTTTTATGTATCTTCTATATTGTTATAAACTTGGTGGTGGCACAGAGAGGGGTAGTGGTGTGTGTGTCGTCAGCCGACGCAAATCGCCCCAGGCCAGCGCTAGACGAGCGGTCAACCGTGACGAGTTACAATGGTCAGCCGAGTCGAGTGTCAACTGACCACCTAGAAAACGTCGAGCGGCGTTCTGTCCGGTTCGCGAAGGCCAGTAGGGAGTGGAGGTGTCGCAGTCAAGACGGTTCACGACAGAATGTTCACGGCAGGGGTTCAGAGCCCGGTTCACTACAGTCTGGTCGACTACAGCACAGTTCAGCGGTATGGTGAAGTCAGTCCTGAACTGTTGAACCCAGTGCAAGCCCGGAACGAGACGGAGAGGCCAGTGCAAGAGTTGATACGGCGGTACGGTGTTATCGGAGAGATATTTGTACAGTGTACGTGTTGCCAATTGTACAGTATTGGCTGTTATATTTTCAACTATTAAAGTGTTACGTTATTCTGGAGCCCTGAGTTGTCAATTTCTTTACGTTGGTGGTGTATGGTGCAGTTTGCAGAGAGCCTGGATAGTGAGATTCGTAACAATATTTTATAAAATAAAAATGCTCACAGCATATCGTTGAGGAAAAATGTTTTCCTCACAAAACTAAAGATTCAAATAATAGCAGTTAGGGTGCAGATGAAACCCATTTAATTTTTACCTTGCTCAATCAAAACCTTATCATCTAGAATATTGAATATAGGAGGTAACATTTCTTTCACATATGTAGGCATAATTGATTAAAGCCTAATTGATTATATAAAGTCTAATTGATTATATAACTTTATCATCTAGAATATCAAATATAAGATAATATTTCTTTCATATTTGTAGGCCTAATTGATTATACAAAGCCTAATTAATAAATTAAAGCCTAATCATCATATAAAGCCTAATTGATTATATAAAGCCAACTCATTATTTCTAGGCTGGTTGGAGAAAATGGAGTGCAGAACACCCAGATTGGCATGCTTGGAGATCAACCTCACGTCATCCTGATTGGTACAACAGAAAAGTGAATTATATTCGAAGAGGTAAAACTCTTTTTAAAATTAAATCTTACCTTTTAAATTGCAAGAAATACAAACATTCCATAAAAACAGAGACATAGTTAGTCTCCTATACATATTCCATAAAAACAGAGACATAGTTAGTCTCCTATACATATTCATGCTTATCCAGGTGTTAACAATTCTCAACTAAGACATTGGTTTTCCTTGCTAGAAAAAAAATAGCACCTACATGAACTTGTGTTAGCAAACTGGATTAAGAAATGCGTATTATCTTAAAGACTATTTACTAGTTTTTTTTGTATTGTTAGGGCTTATTGTTTAGTGAATTATTTGTAGTCTTTTGTCCTGAAGTGTTTCTAAGTTTAGTGATTTTACAAGTGGTGTTACTCGAGTCAAACCTGTATATATTTAGAGTTTTTAGTTTGAGTAACTAGTTTTTTTGTTAAAACTTTTTTTTTCCTGTTTCTGGCATTTTTCTTGATGGAAAAACATGCTTCAATAATATTTCTGTGATTCCTCTTATTCTCTTTGTAAAATTTCAGTATTTTTTGTCGTCTTTACAGCTTACAGTTCTTTTATTTTGTTCACCTTGAAACTTTTATGTCAACCCAAGTTTTTGTTTTGCAACTATTATCTTTTTTCAGCTGACTACAAAAATGTCAACTGGCACTGGGAGCAGCCATCGAAACCAACATCACGCAAACATGACGATTTTGTGCCCTTCAACAATGAGGTCAAGATGAAAGAGGTACAGAAGGCCATGCCACACAACAAGGGGCTCCAAGGCAGCTGGAGCTACGCTGTACCCTTCCCACAAGAAATACCCACACCGAAATGGGGATTGTTCAACCCACCAAATTACCAGGAGCCAACCAGACTCAACCATTTCCCTCCAATCCGCTATGATGGGCACCAAGCGAGGATGCAGTAACTAGTACTAGATTGAATAATATGTTGAGCTGCAATTTGTTGAGTTGTCAAATAGTGTTGGGCGTGAAGGAGCAAAGTTTTCTATGTTGAAAGAACAGATACAAATTTAAATTTTGTAACAAAGTTATACAATATATAATTAAATTTGAATTATCCATTTTTTAAAATTTTCTTTTTTAAGAGCTAACAGATACAAATGTAACTTTGTAACAAAGATATACAATATATAATTGACTTTGAATTATCCGTTGTTTTTTTTCAAGAGTCACTGGTATTAGAATTATTTAGGTTGCTCTTTTGATTGCTCTGACATTTTCTAGTTGTTTGTGATACGTTTACTGTAACCATTATTCCCAACTAAGAAATGTTTTCTTTGATCGTATAATACAAATGTCTTGTCATAACACAAATGTGTTATCTTGTACTCTGAATACAAAGCATGCAGTGAAATTAGGTCAAGTGGCGATACAGCGTTACAATTAATAATTTACAATATTGATAACCTCCCTTCCTTCTAAACTCACCATTTTCTTCATCTAGCCAGCTTTTTGCAGCTGTAAGCTCTTTACACCTAGAGTTATGATCATCATGAACAAATGTTGTTTGATAAAATAGTAAGGCCATAAAGAAATAGAATCTAATTTGATGAAATAAGGTTCTTAATGGTACCAGAACAAAAGTGTTTCAAAAAAAGAGAGTACCACCATTTAGTAAATGTTTCAAAAAAATTTTGAATATTTGAATTCAATTTCATAATGTGACATAGTGTTAGCAAGAACAAGATTACTTCAAGTTGATATAAAAGAAAAAGAAATAAAAGACTAGAATGAAATTTTCAAACAATTTTTTTATTCTTTAAATTCATTGTTGTTTTTGTATATGTTAAAAGAAACACACAAAAAATCAATGGACAAAATGGTGAGCAGTAGCTTTTCAAAGATCAAGAAATCAACTTGAAGAACTTGACATTCACTCAGTGTTCAAGAATTTGTTATTCCTTTGATATTTTTTGTTGTTGTTAATATCAAGTCAAGAAATTCTTTAATTTATTAGTCTTCCATTTGAAAATGTGATACACAAAATAAACATTGTCTACAGTATTTGAACACAGTTTCATGACAAATCAAAGTAAAAAAAAAAAAACAGACAGCCGAAGGTAAAATAAAATCTTGTACAAAAATTACTAGGCACTTAACAAAAAAACTTCAGAATTAAAACAGATGGAGATATAGATGTGTTGGATATAGACAACACAAAATGTTGTACATTGACTATAGCCTGTTATTTATATATATATATATATATATATAGACAGAGCACAGAGTTCTTAGATGTCATTGAATATAGTATATTTATACACAAGTCTACATAATAACAGTGGAAGTCTATGCTCAAGTAGTCTGGACAGATGAGGAGTGAATCATGAAATGAATCGAGAGCAATGAATTCTTCATACCTTTCTTTTTTGGTGTGTGAATTTAAAAAAATTTTTTTTTTTTTTCTAATCAATCTGAATTGAGAACAAAACAATGTAAAAGAATGTTATGTAAATGTTTTGAGTTGTTTCTTAGTCTAAAACCAAGACCAACTGTCATAGAAGGCCTGAACACTGACCTGTAAAGCCACAACCTGTGGGCAGTTTAGACCAATAACTCGTTGCCACGTGATAGGTCAGTACAACATGGCTATTGGTTTCCACTGCCCACAGTTTGTGACGTTGCAGGTCGGAGTTCAGGCCTTCTATAACGAATGGTCTGGAACCAAAACCCACTGATCATGCAATAGACACTCAAAACTTCAACTCTGTTAGACTGAAATGTATGTCTAAGTGAAAAGCTTACTTCCATCCAATTTTTATCTTGAACAAAGTGACACACCAAAGCTGCAATAAACAAACACACACACATACACACAAAATCATGTTGAAGCAAAACTTTAAGTTAGAAACATATTTTTTAAATGAGAAAAGAAAAGAAAAAAAAAAGGTACACTACATCTAGGTCAAGTTCAACTAAACAAAAACATGATACAAAACAATAAGTAGGGGAAAAAAAATGGAGGACAATAAATTTGATCTATTTACACATTTTCATCAACCGAAAATAATGACACACAAAAAGTTGCAAGGAAAAAAGTCAATCTGAGTGATAGATCAAATGTTTTGGCAGCAAGGTGTGGATTTAGTGCTCACAGAGCATGCAGCTTTAGTCTGGATTCAAATACTCCCATAATGATATGTACTAGGTCAGTGCCGCCAGACCATAGGGTCATGTGTGACACAGTGCTGTCTGGCACTGATGGACCACAGGGCCATGTGTGACACAGTGTTGTCTGGCACTGATGGACCACAGGGCCATGTGTGACACAGTGCTGTCTGGCACTGATTGACCACAGGGCCATGTGTGACACAGTGCTATCTGGCACTGGTTGACCACAGGGCCATGTGTGACACAGTGCTGTCTGGCACTGATTGACCACAGGGCCATGTGTGACACAGTGCTGTCTGGCACTGATTGACCACAGGGCCATGTGTGACAAAGTGCTAACTGGCACTGATTGACACTCTGCTAACGTACAGACTTAGTTTTACATTTTTGCAGAGATGCAGACCTTAACACACAATAAGAATTTTATATGAAACCCCCACCCCCTTCCCCAAAATTGAAAATGATTGTGCTCTATTGAAATAAGCTTCTATTCAAACTTGATCCTACTTCTCAATCTAATTTACCTCTGTCCAGGTCTACAAATTCGACAACATTAAAGAAATTTTATTTGAATGAAAAACTTTGAAATTAAAAAGAAAAAAAAAATCAGTGAAGTGTGCAAAACTTTGAATAAAAAAAAAATCCTACATCAAGTCTAAGACAATGTTTCTTAGAGAATCTCTAGAAGATTAACTGAGGCATGGTCAGTGTAAGACATGTTTGATAATGCCTGACACTAGCCTGGTGAAAATGGTTATAGTGTTATGTGTTAGTTTCACTCTTCACTGGGAGCCCTGACAAGTGACTAGGTGTCTAAAGAAAACCAAGTTTCAAACAGAACATATCAGCATAGACAGAGTGTTAGGGATGAAACCATTCAGGTGTACACAGTCCAAACAACGGGCTCAAAAGTTCTATGGCAGTATGTTAGTTCATGAAGTCACTAATCTAAAGCAAGTCTTGGCATGTGATAAAAAAAAAATTAACTTAATTAAACATTTTATTTTTGCTATTTCTAAGTGCTATCAATGTAGCTTTCAATTGTCAACAAAATATTCCAACTTCACTACACGCACACACTTAGACAGCTCATCAACTCTTGGTCTAACTCTGGACATTTGTAGATGCCATGTTAAGACTGAACCAGGGGAGAACAATAATGTTCATTTCTTCAAGAGTGACACAAAATGTACTTAATTATGTCTGTTTTATTGACAACAAAATGTGTTTTAACTTGGTTAGAATAAATCAGACATCAGAATGAGATGAATTGTTACTGGAGCTTCTCTCATACCAACAGGGAGTGTGTTATTTCCCCTTTTCTAATCTAAAAATATCTCTACATTATCATGTTTGGTCCTATGTAATCATGTGAAAACTTAGTATCTTGGTCTATCTTGGAAGACAACAGGGAAATATCACATATTGACACTGACAAGTGCATGCTGTGAATAGCAATACATTGTGCTCAAACTGAGAGAAAAAAACACTAGATCTAGATTGATTTTTTTTGTATAAACTTATACATAGGATAGAAAAAAAACAAAACAAACTAGATCTGGACTGATTTATTGTAAACTTATTATACAGATAGAAAAAAAACAACAATTTAGATTTATTTACTTTGAACATACAAATGGACACAGTGTCATTGTGAATTCATTCTTGATCCCAAGATAAATTTTGAGTGATCCCAATGTACCCATGAAACAAAAAAAGCAGGATGAAGAGATTGCACTGATACTTAAGGAGCCTTGCTGCAGTAGTTACCAACCTCAGAGTCAAGCCTCCCCCACATGAGTCACATAGCATTGTGTGGGTCGGCGACATTAAGGTTGGAGACCATTGCAACATAGTATGTTGTAAGATGACAATATGTACATGATGTTATGAAAACTTGAACTGAACAGATTCACAAAACTTGACATTGGCTATGAAGGTTATTTCCTTTTTGTTTTGGATTGTCAGAGTGAACCATCTATTGGTCAAAAATTTTTGCTACCATGAATTTCATTACAAAAGATTTGAGCCTAAAACTGGATAACAGCAACAAATTGTAGTGTTGATACTTAAAGTTCAAATGTTGATACCTTAAGTTCAAATGTTGATACCTTAAGCTCAAACAAAAATATATGCTAAGTCAACATAAACTATGAACATAATGGTTTATACAAATATGCAGTGAAGAGTGGAGTCTTGGCTTGATGGCTGTGATGATGTTTGTTCATTTGTGGAATTCAATGAAGATGCTTGCTGACATGTGACAGCTGTCAGGATGATGTGTAGTTGAGCTGTTCAAGTATTTATCGTTAAAAAAAATGCTGATTTTGTCGTCCCTTAGAGATGAACTGATCTAAAACAAAAAAAAAAAAATGTAATGACAATTTAGGAACAAGCCCAAACAAAATCATCGGAAGGTTCAAACAATCATCTAACAAACAGAAACAATTAGATCAGCTGAACATTAATATTAACATCTACATAATTTTAACAAATTATGATAATTTTTTAAAATGCAAAACAATTTTGTTCAAATTTTGAAATTTTTTTCTTTGGTTTTAATTTTTAAATTGTTTTGAGGTTTTGAGCATTTTTAAGTTGTTTTTAATTCACGAGATTATTATTTGAGGAAGAAAAAAGTAAGTTTCTGTAGATTACAGCATAAGGTAGCCGCTGATTAAGTCTCCTGGCTTTGAAATGGGGTAGCAGCTGACTAAGTCTCCTGGCTTTAAAATGGGGTAGCAGCTGACTAGAAGGCTGTCTCCTAGCTTTGAAATGGGGTAGCAGCAGACTAGAAAGCTAAGTCTCTTGGCTTTGAAATGGGGTAGCAGCTGACTTGAAGTCTCCTGGTATTGAAATTTGAAGTAGTGTCACATATGTTACTTTCTGTCAATATAAGTCTATAATTTGGATTGTTGAAGCCTTGGATATTAATGAAAATTATTACAAGCTTACCAATAAAAAATATATTTATCCAACAGTGAACAAGGCTAGAGATCCTGTGACTTCAGATCTCCATTTTGAATATGTTGAGGCTTCTTCGACTCAATTTCAGCTTGCATGCGGGCAAGCCTCTCCTGCATCCTCCGCAACTGGAAAACAGAAAGACACAAATGTTTTACCCAAACTAGAAAAAACTAGGGCAACATGAATGTATGTCGTGTTTGTTAAGTTTCAGACAAAAAAAAAGTTCAACCAATTAAATAATAGTATGTGTAAAAGTTCCCCTGTCAGACTAAGAGGCGCCCGAAGATCCCATAATTAAATAGCCCAGTCTTCACCAGGATTCGAAGCCAAGCACTTTACCACTCAGCCTCTGCCACTCCAATAGTATAAGTAAACTACAATATTTACTGTTGTTTTTTTCTCCCTATAATTAGGATAAGAGAAGCAATTGTTTTTAAAATCATTTTCAGAAAGTTGAACATTAAAACATTTACAACAGGATTATAAACAGACTACACAAGTAATAGAGAAAACATAAAGAAACACAGCATTGTTCTTTGTCAGAACATTATCAAAGAACTTGAGAGGAGTGTGTGTATCACAGCCAATGAGAGCATTGATTGTGTACACTTATTCTGGTCAAGTGTTATTGTCAATAAAAAGCTGAAAGTAACTACAACACATGTTCAACACATGTTCAACACTACCTGCCACTTTGTAAAATTAAAACTGGAGGGAACTTAGAAACCAAGGCTTACCTCAGCTTCCTTCTGCTTGAGTTCTCTCTCTTTGTCTGAATAATCTCCCCCATTCTCCATCCTGTCAACAGAGCCAGTAGATTTCCTGAAGTGAAAGAAAGAACATACCAGCAGTTCTCAATCAAGGTATTTGTTTACTGTGACGCGGACTGATTATCCCATTCAATTACTCAAAGCTAGTTTCAACAATCACATCAGTTGTGTAACAACCATGGCCCCATGAGCAATAGAAACACTCAGAGGCCATTGAAGGATAGTTATTTATTTCTTACTTTCAATAATGTGTAAAAGTTTTAGGTAACAAGACGCTATTCCCTGCAAGAAGTTGTTACTGAATTGAGTGTAAGGACACTCGCATGTGGTACATACATTGGAATGTCATTTTGTACATGTACTGATACACAGAGGATGAAGCAATTTTTATTTGGTTATGTCACAGCCTCATTTGAGACTCATTGCGACATGTTGTGACTTTGTAGTCACTTATCCTAAAACATGCATATTGATGTTATAGGTCCCAATCAAATATTTAGCTGGGAAATTTGTGATGCCACTGAATCCCCTCACTTGGAAAACATTTAAGACTTTCTGCTTTCAAATAGGCCTTTTAAAAAACATTTCTTTGAAATAAGAGTGTTATGATATCCTAAGGGAGAAAAACCTGGCCACTAACATGAACAAGAAAAGCTAAAGTAAAGTGTCTGTGAGTGGGGTTCCACTGAAGAGTTTATCCTATTTGTCTTCGTTGTGATCTCAACTAAACTAGAACTCAACATTTTTACATTTGTAGGCTCTTAATCTTTTTTTCTTTTCTTCCTGAAACCAAATGTTTCGAAAATGATTTTTTTTTTTTACTAAGAGAGTAATTTTTTAAAAGTCTATCAAAAATAAATTAAGGTTTATAGCTTAAGCAGCTTATCTATTTGTTTTTATATATTTATGACAATTTAGAGAAACCAATCTGGAATATATATATATATACATAAAAGAGGAAAATAAAATAATAATATACAAAAGAAAAACAAGCAAAAAACAATGGGAATCAATAAAGCAAAAAAAATAAAAATTAAAAAATTAACAACTGTAAAACGAACAAAAAAATTTAAACAAGATTAGATTTGATTTAGTTAGAACAAGGTTAGAAAAGGACAAGAAAGGTGACACAAAAATTGTTCCTCTACCTGTACACACAACTATTGTGCAAATAAATCTGAACCCCAGTAACCTGGCATAGCCAAAGATTGTAGCACAATCTTTTACAATGTGGCCAAAGGAAATGAATGTAATTACAAGTAGTAGCCTCCCTTGTGTTTGGAATACAATTCCCTGTCTAGCATGTATAGAGTATTACAATGAACTAGAGTGATAGCACTTGAAGATGTGTCACAGAAGTACTTTGGATGTTAATAAATAAAGTGTTTTTTATATTTGGATTTATAATGATGCAAAAAATAGAGTTGGAATTTA